TGCCCTTTCCTGCTTGCAGAAATATTCTAATTTGTTAGAAAAGTTATTTCACTGATAAGTGAATATTCTATTTTGTGGAGGATCTCGGTGTGGTGCATGATCCTAACAAGAAGGGCAGATCTCACTGCTTAGTGTATCTAAAGACAAAACATCTTTTTAGTTTTGGATGGAGTGGGAAAGTATTAGAACCTCTAACTATTTTAATGCCTATGTGCCCAGTGGGACAGAGGCATTAAAATAGTTAGTGTCCCAGAGACCACTGTCAAAAAGTGAAGAAAAATACAAAACTGTGAGTTATCACCAGAAAAGGAGTAGGGGGTATTTTCCAATGGGAACACCTGTTTTGGTGACAACTTTCTAATTGTAGATTTCCTCATATTTCCTGTTATGTGTGTTAAGGATGAAAAGATTTCCTTACAATAGAACACAGGTGACAAAAACCCGATAAGGGTTTGAATCTATTCCTACTGTGTCCAAAAGAAAAAATGTTGGATTTAAATATAAACTTGTGAACAACTCAGTGACTAAATCGCATTCTTTACTTGCAGTACTGGGTTCATGCTTTAAATTCCTAGAAGGAAGACTTAAAATATGGGCCCTGGGATAAGCAAATATTGTCTAAATGCAAGAGGCCTGTGCATTCTTACATCTTGGTGAGCTTTCTGTATTTCTTTCAGGTTTATGCAGTAATACAGAAACTGCCTTTGTGCAAACCTTCCTGTTATGAAGACCAGTCACTGCTGCTCTCTCTCCTTGTGCAGGGTGACTGGTCTTGTATCTACCTCCTCCTGTAGTTTTCTGCAGGCAGCCTGTAGTGGGTAGAGCCTGCTGGGTACCTTCAACAGCTCTGCTCTCCGCACGGGCTATGCACAGTGATGATGTCCTTGCTACTTTTAGGTAGCAGGGACAGGTAATATCTGCGTTCAAAAGGGCATCTGGTGCACACAAAGTGAACTTTATATCCTTTGTACCTATGAAGGAATATATTTATATGAAAGTTTTCGTGCCTGAATTTCAGCTTTAATTTGGAGCTTACACCAAAAATCAGCCCTAATCTTTGTGTGTATGTCTGTATCACTGTGAAGGGGACATTACATAGGTAAGGCCTTTTGGAGTAGCACTGATGTAAATAGTCTTTGTCCATTGCATAGCACTGTATACCTTGTTGCTTTTCAGTATACAAACAGGGCTAAAAGGTTCTTGGAAAAGTACTTAAAAAAACAATAACATCGGTATTGAGCTATTATATAAAACCTACGTACAGTGCTGTGTTGCTTTCTGTTCTGTTACAGCATTGTCTTTAGCTTTATTTGTTCTATAGCCTGGATTGTACAATGGATGACAGCAATACTGTAATAAGACCTTTCTGCAAAGACTCCCATCCAGTTGTACATTCTGCTTTCTTGGCACAGATGTTTGTGGGGCCTCGACAGGGGAATGAAACGTGCTCAAGTTCCTGTATTTAGCTGGTAATAGTGTCCTACTATGTAGTTTATCTTTGAGCATTGCTCCGGCGGTCATTCCTCCACTGACGGGCCTAATGGAGAAGGAGTTGGTTTGTTATTAGTTATCCAAATGTCTTCCAGCACTTGGAGAGGCTCTCATAAACACCAGCAGACTGGGCCTCTTATCATAGCCCTGTCATTATAGGCAAAGGGTTTAAAAAGTGATCTTGATGTCACAGGAAAAAAAAGCTAGAGTGTTTCTATAAAGAATTAAGGGAGAACATACACTCTCTTACACTTCACTGTTCAAGTTAAGACATTTACAACTGCATATGTTTTCCTTGGAAAGCTGAAGTACATACAGTGCTTAATGCAGAGCACATGTGTCTACCTAATACTCTATACTCCCAGAGAAAGTGTGGTTTGGGGTTTGAGCTTCTCTTGTTTGCTATGACCACTACCTATTCAGTTGTCTTTTCAAGACACTCTCTTTTTCATGTTATAATATTGATTATTTAAAATGTATAACTTTATTTACATGTCTACTAAGACATATGGCTATAATGATAGAACCAACCATATAGCTCCACATTGTTTTCATAAGAAATTGCAGAAATATTGATAAGTGTAATAAAATATTACAGAATTTAACTGCATGCTCCAAAAGAATAGACTGTTTTTAAAATTACCATGGAGAAACAATGTTACAATCTTTTGTTTTGAGACTTAAAGGAGAACTATGGGGTCAGTGATTTTCCCCATAGTTCTCCTTAGGGTAACGGGAGGACCCGTCACCCTAAGCTCAGTATACCGCGAGCTACAGCTCGCGGTATACTGAGATGCCGCAGCCGGAGCGGATCCCGACTTAGATGACGGGATCCGCCCAGCTGCGTGAGTGACAGCTGGCTCTCCCTATCTAGAGGCAGCGCCAGCTGTACACGCCCTCTCCCCCGTCCGTTCCCCCAGTCAGCACTGGCAGATCGGAGAGGGGAATCCAGCCCCTCCCCCTGTCATGGCAGAGAGCCGTGACAGGATCGAGAGGCGAGCAAACCCGGTATGTGTTCGCTTACCTCCCGATCTACTGAGCCGACCTGTGACAGTCTCATTGTCACAGGTCGGCTAGAACTATGAGGTGAGTGAAAAGCACTCACCTCATAGTTCTCCTTTAAAGGGAACTAATGAGAGTTGAGTTAGAGCCCTTTCACACAGGCTTTCTGATCAGGTCTGCCTGTCAGTTTTTCAGGCGAACTTGACCAGAAGCCCAATGTTAGTCTATGGGCAGCTGGGTCTAAAGGAGCGGGCATCCATTTACATCCAGTTACGCCCGGCTCCAACCGAGTCCGGAAAAACAAACAGATCAGAGTTCTGTTTCTCTGGACCTAATAGTGCCAGATCAGGGGTAATCTTGTGTCTGTTTACATCCCTTTGCCCATAGACCAACATGGGTCTGATAATGTTAGTCTTTTCCTCCATTGCAAGTTGGAGGAAAAAACTGGATGTCACAAACATTTCATCCAGTCCCATCAGCAGGGGATCAATGCACAGATCCCCTCCTGAAAAGGGCCTTAGAGAATCTGCCATTGCAGACTTGTTTTTAAAGTGTATGTAAAGCCAAAACATTTTTTTCTTTGTTTAGGATAGTGTGGGGAAAGGGAGATCTACAATTACTATTGGTCCTGATGGCCATTGTCTCTGATACAGAAAGTGATGACAAATCCAAAATGTTGTCACAAGAACAGGTGGTAATGTAAAAGCTTCTAATGGGTAAACATGTTCTGGTGACAACTATCTATGGAGTGATAGCCCATGGCATTGGAGAGATCTATTTTCCAGAACTAAATACGAAGTATTGGCTTTACATACACTTTTAAAGGTGCAGGCTCTGAGACTGGTATGCAGATTCTGGCTTCACAATCTAGTGAGTCACTGACCTGGTACAGGGAAGCTCTCATATATGCATCCTCCTGGGTCTGTTCAGTAATCCCAAAACTCTATTGGTGTAAATTGGAAATTAGCCATATAAATTAATACAAAATAAATGAATACAAATAAACTGTAAATAAAACAAATTTTAAGGCTTTTTACAAAAAAATACCTAAAGGAGTCTTGAATGTGCATTAAAAAAATGTGCCTGTCCATTCCTAATGTGGACATTGCTTTATTTTCCTGTTTTCTCACTGCAGTCTTCACTTCAACTTAAAATGTTCCCTCAAAACTGCTGTGCCCATCCTGCATTGTGTGCCATGACCTCCACTTAAATTGGCATCACATTATCGATTCAGGGCCAATTTGATTTTGTCTGAGTAAAGCTCACTCCCCCAATCACTGATATTTACCTCTCCAGCAATCCCCTGCCACAACTGCTGCCAAAATGCCCAGTATTGGCTGATGTTGGAGCCAAGGGCCGTGGAGACCCCTCCATCATCCGACGGTGCTCAGGCCAAACAACTGACTGCTTGGCCTGAGTACTACATCATAGGAGGAAGTGACTCCTCCATATATGGAAGCAATAGGTATTTAATTCCAGATATGATAGAGGAAGAAGTAGTGGAGGAGTGCTGCAGTAACAGTGGGTCGGGTGGGAGGGAAGAGAAAGGAGGCATAGTAGTTAAAGCCCCTTATTTATGCCTCCTCACCCATCTCAAAACACCTAAAAAATGGGGGAAGTTAGTTAAGACACTTACCTTATCCCCCTTGGCCTTTCGCTGTGCCTAGGCGAGGGTGACATCACCATTCTACTGGCGAGATCCCAGTAAATGCCAAGTAGCGCAAATGGATCCTGCAGAGAGAAAAACTCAAATCAAATTCAGATACAAATTAAATATCAAAGTACACAAAGGGGGGCTGTAGGGAGCACAAATGTGGAAGCAGAAATTGGTAAATGGACTGTAATAACATTGATCTCTATCAGTCTGATGTATTGTGTCTCCAATCTATGACTGCTTAGGTATTTTCCCAGTTCTAAAAACTTCTATAGCATGTTCCCAATCTCTGATTATATCCTTTAGAATGTCTGCAGTGTCCGACCATCTCTTGCAGCATGTCTACTGCCTCTGACAGCTTTCTGTAGTATTATTTTCACTTAATATTAAGTGTGGCCCTTTGGTGTTGTCAGGGTCCAAAATTGATGACCCCTAGATCAAAAAAGTTGACTGCTAAAGTTCTATTGCTTTCAGATATAACTACCAATCATATAATGATAGTAGGTACTGTTTAAAGCATCTTGTCTGTGACAGTAAGTCCTTTGATATTAATGAGCATGCATGTTCTCTAACTGAAAAGAAAGGAGGCCAGGTGTGAGTTTTACTTGTGGGTAGAGAAAACATAGCAGATCTTTGATAAATCTTCTCCCAGCCAACTACACATACACGTGAGAATAAGGTACTGGCTTGTTAACTTTCCTTTGCACATACTTAATGGAAATGTTACATGCCCAGCAGTTGGTTTCTTCCACCTCACACTAAATGGGCTGTTGTTGCAATACGTTGGATTTATTAATCTTAAAAAGCAGCAGGCGAAAACTAATCAGAAATCTGTTTTTTGTGGGTTTTTCAGGTGACACAGCAGGAAGACAGCAGGTCCCCACAACCCCACCAGCTTCGGAAAACAGCAGTGCGGCTCATAGCATTGGCAGTACACAAAGCACCCCCTGTTCCAGCAACAGCACTGCCTAACCCAAACCATGGCACAAGAGGAGCGAAGATCAGCTACAGGGGCAGAGGTTCAAAGTCACTGTTTGTTGACATTAATTCTTCAAGCTTGGAAGGAATCTGTGCAGTCCTTTCTGTACAGGAAAAGGGATCAGTGTAATATCTGCCAGTTTTTTTTTTGTTTTTTTGTTTTTTTTCTGGATGAATGCAGTCTTTGGGTTAGTCCAAAGAACATCATGCCAAAAAAAAGTGGTAATACTACTAATTATGCAGAGTCCAGAACTGCAATATGGGTTTCCTTGGCTGTCAATGTGAATTGTGTGCCAGTTTTAAATATGCTGCTTGTCTCCCTTTTATGCTGTATTAAAGTGCAATGGTTTTGTATATAGAAACAGAAAAAGAATTATATATATATGCATAGACTGTATATATAATTTAAAGTGATTGTACAACCATGAGCACTTTAATTCAGTGTAAACCATTTAGCCACTATTAAGCAGCGGTTTGATGAATGTTAATGTTTTGCTGTTCTGAAATGCTGCATGCAGCTAAAGTGTGTTTGATGTGATGTTGTATATAATCTTTCAGCTTTATCACTCAATAGAGTGACTCTTTGACTATTCACAAGTGTATTTGATAAGGCAACACAAAGATAATATGCGGTGCAGAGTAACTCATAGCAACCAGTTAAATTTGAGCTTACTGATGTTAGGTCAGTAAAAGAAGACTTCTGATTGGCTGCTATGGTGCTCATTCATTGGCCATTGTAAATAAACCAGCTTGTGTGTAAAGGACCAATCATGCTCTCCCTCCACCTCTATAATAACTTGCAATCTTGGAGATGTTTTAATTCTAATCTACAGATAGAAGTGCATAGATGCAGCTTTGTTTAGAGAAGGACTCTAGGGAAAAATGTGTCTCCACCTTTGTAGTGTGGCTACTCCTGCACTGCAAGGGTTAAGTGTCTGTTTAAGTGCCTCAGAGCCGTCTTGCTCTCAGACTGGTCACTGGAGCCTCTCTCCCCCTTCGCTGCAGCCGTCTAAGGTCCCTGGGTCACCATGTCCTATATACTGTGTATTGGACATGAGGATGCAGAGGGACATTCCAAAACTGCAGCAGAGGAAGAGACGGGTGGAAGAGACCGGTATGAAAGCAAGCATGCTTTGAGGATCAGGTGAACATAATTTTGAACCAAAATGAGCACTTCATGTGTGGGGGTAGCCCCATTGGAAGGGTTAAGATTCATTTTTCCCGAGTTCTGCTTTAATGAGTCTGCCTGCTGCACTTGGAAGAAAACACTGTGCTCTCCAAAAATCTTTTTTTTTGGAAAGCAATGTCCAGTTCTCCTGTTATTGCAATAATCACGTAGAGAGTGAGGTCTCTTTCTTTCTCTTTCCTTTTTTTTTAATGTTTGGGGCACTTGTATGTCTTTGTTGTTTATTTTATTGCCTTAGAGTGATTGTAGTAAATTGCAGTGCAATCTGAACCAGTCACCGCTTTCATAAGGATTCATTAAAGTGTATTTGTCACTGCCAGTAACCCTTTTGCTGGTTGAATTAGTTACATCACAGCAACAATGATGTATTGAATTCTTCATGAAGTGATTTTGCTGTATTTTTTAACATTTTTCAGTCTACAAACCAGCTGGTTTCATTGTATTTTAGTGACAGGTACACTTTAAACAATTGTATATTTTAAGCAAACCAATAGGAAGAATGTAAAAATGTATATGAATGTATATGTGTGTGTATATATATAAAAAAAGACATTATTTTTAGAAAAACATTTGGTACCTGCCATACTGCGCCTTGCAAATGCATGCTACTCTATAATGCAATACGTTCCCCACTTAATGTGGAAGTTAAGGCAATAGAAAAAAAAGCAGTCCAGTAACAAAAACCCTGGCATGCGCAATAAAAACCTTCACATAAAAATGAATTGTTAGAATACCATATAATCAAATTCTGAAAATCAGATCACATGATCCCTCTGCCTTATTTCAGAAGTTACAGACAAGTAGTAGGGAACATTGCATAGGCTCTAGTTGGTGATATGTGATGTAGTCATGACACAGGAAGTCAGTCACCCCAATGGGTGAAGTCGTGTAGAGGCACTGATGCCCCAAAAAGCGTCTGCCTCTGGAGCACACTTTGAATCCTGGAGGCATCAGAAGTGGCATTTTAATGCAGTGCCACCACTACAGGACATAGGAACCGTTCAGGCCAGTGTCAACGGCCATCGATGGTCATGCTTTTTTTTAAAAACTTTTGCCATTAGTGTGAGATGCTTCAGAATTCGATGCAGGTGCAGTTGACCTGAATTTGACATGCTTCAGATGCATTTTCATTCCCATAGACTTGTCTGGCGAGAGAAGAAGTTCTAAAGCAAACAAAGACCCATCGACATTGACCCTTACCCAGATCAGGAGCAAGTATGCAAAATGTTAGACACTTAGGGATACACATTGCCATAGATCACAAATTTGCCTTGACTGCCACTTTAATAAGAATACAGGATTATTCATTTTTAACAGTTCTTTAGTAATTAGATGTCAAGTATCCGTGCAATGTGATTTAAAGGCTTCAGGAAGAATTGGAATTATAAATTAAGCATTTAGCTCAATATAAAATAACAGTTATATAAAATAAAATGTAAATAAAAATAAAAAAAAGTGAATCCTATCATAAAAGGGAAAATAAAATGATCCTATGCAAGAATTTTTCTTTATATCACATACTGTATAGGTTCCATCAGGCATTTCTGTTTTGGGAACATGTTTTGTATCAGACATATTGTTCGTATTGGTTAGGAATGTTGGGGCAGGAATGGAAAATCATCAGCACCCTAATCACTGAACTATAATCCCACCGCCTGCCTGGTTGGGCATGTAATTTTGCAATATCTTTCCTGTCTGTTGCATGTTTTCGGCTTGTCTATCCTGATCACCAAGTCTTGTGCAAAGCACTATTATGTTGAAAGATTAACTGACGGGCATTTTGAGATTCTGGCAGAGATTAGTGCTTATAGTGTTATTTGGCTTCATGCTGTGTTAGCTGTCAGGATGTCATTTGAAAGAACTTGCCCTGGTGTTTGTCTTGTAAACAACATCAGCCCTGTAAGTGACCAGGCAGACAACACTGCTGTAGATTTTGGGATCCCATAGGCTGTTTTTTGATCAAACACAGCTGTAAACTCGATTGAATAGAATAGAGAAAAGCTGAAGTGACAGTTGGGTTTAGATTAGATCTTTTCACTTCCAACATATGGTGTGAAGCAATATATTGCTGAAAACTGAGGGAGATGTTGTGGCAAGAATTTGTACCCAAGTAATCATTTTTTGAAGAGACCCTGTCACCAACTTAAAAAAATGCAGTTAAAAAAAGTATTTTAAATGCTTACTGATAGTGTTTTTATTTCCATAGATCATTTTTATTCACTTGCAATGTGCCTCTGAACATGCTAGCAAATTTGACTCCTTCAGGATAGTCAATTCCCTAGCACCTCCCTCCTGGCTTGTTATAGCCCTTTCCTCTTCTGGGAGTGTCTGTTTACTCTCTACGCTGGGTACAACCTTTTAATGGAGCTGCCGGGGTAGGAGCAAAGGCGAATATCAATAGGGAGTATCAACTGAAAATCATATCTGAGACAGCTGGGGCTGCTGACATCGCAATCAAGATGGCGGCACCCAGAAGCAGTCTCCAGGCTTTAGGATATCTATACAAGAGAGACATTTACAGGTAAATAACATGCATAAAATACTTTAAAGCACATAAATCTTATGGGAAGATTTCTGTTGAAATAAATGGTTTGGCGATCGGATCTTTTTAGCACCAAAAAAGATTTGCATCCAGTACTTTTTTTTGACACATGATGATTTTAAGCATTGTTCATGTGAACTTACTTCTTGCCTCTTAGAGCTTAATGAAATACCGCCTTTGCCAAATTATCACTTTAAAGCCCTGGTGCCAATTAAGATAGCCATACACCGCTCGAAGGACAGAAGGATTTGGTTGAAATTCGAGCTGTGTGTGGCCCTGCTGCCACCAACTGGCTCAACAAAAGTTGACTATGCAATAAAATTTTGTCGAAGGAGCTGGGTAGAAAATTGTTTCCGGAACAGCAGCTGCAGACAATCAGCTGTTGCAGCATTCCAACAGCATCAGAATACAATATCATTAATAAGCAGGATTTATAAAGCACCAACAGTTTGCACAGCGCTTTACAAAATGAGGGAGACAGTAAAGTTACAATATAATTTATTTACAATAGGGTTAAGTTGCCCATACACCTGACGATTATCGTACGATAATCACTGGTGATCCCGCGATCGTATTATGATAATCGTAAGGTTGATCGGCAGCGTGCGAACGCATTTACTGTACGGTCGTACGATTTTCATATAACTAGCACGCTAGAAAACCCACCGAAAATCCTACGATTTTCGGCGGGTTGGTAGCGCGATCGCAAGACAGAAGCTGCACGGCCCGAGGTGCGCAAGCGCACACTGCCCGCGATCCATTGCAATCATCTGCAAGCCCTCCCCTCAGCGGGTAGGACTTGTAATGATCGCAAGTACGATCTGCCTGCCCAAGATGGGCAGGTCGTACAAACTTTTAATCACCTTGCAACCATCGCACAACGAGAGTCGTGCGATGGTTGTAAGGTGTATGGCCACCATTAGGAGGGCCCTGCTTGTGAGAGCTTACAATCTGGTAGGAGTGGGAAGTGTATGGCCACCATTAGTTCCCATATGAGCACCACTTTTAATAAAAGCTATATTTTTATTGTAACCCTCAGCACAGCACCGAGCTCTGCCTTCTAAAAGAGTTAAAATGCCCTTAGACGTTAAATGAGTGTGATCAGGATTGGAAAAGCACTGGGTGATCAGGATTGGATACAGAATAATTTCTTGGATTTTAGAAGTCCAGTAAAATATTCTGTCTACAGCAAGATGACGTCATATAGCCAGAGTAGTCTCTGGCATGTGTCTTTGTTAACATTAGGCTTTATAATTTTCTTTACATCTGCTGCCTTGGCCAGCATGAGAATGCTTTACATCAT